TCTCCAAATCCCTTCAAAATCCGATCTAAAGCCATAGCATCCTCTACATCCCCCGACAAGCAGTTCCACAACCTTTTATTTGTTATCTAAGTAATTACTTTTGTCTCGTTTTGAAACCCTTACTGCCTAGGAACACTCATCTGCTGTCCCTTAACTGTTGTACTAGAACAATGAAGAGTCATTTCCTCTTCACCCTCTCTTACATTCATTTTGGACACCACTTATACCCATTCCTCACTTCTCTCTTAACTAAGATGAAAAGATGAAACAGTCCTAGCTCATTTAGACATTCCTCATAGGCAAACTATAATACACCTTTACACCATTCCTGACTCCTCTCATTGTACCTTCTCCATTTCATTGACACAAACTTCCCATCCAGATGATCAAGCTCAAAGAGTCCAGACAAACCTAAAAATATTTATGGATACAATGTGAACATCTGCAAGATGTATTGTGATCCGTTTTCCAGATGACGCACAGAAGCTTAGAGACAATCGCTGTCTATGCCCCACAAATTTACCTAAGGTCCAATCTTCAGTCTATGCTTCTTAAGAGATCAAACTTTGGTCTAAACTATTTGCAATTTCCAATACATGAGTAATCACCAGAGATGACAGTTTGTCTTTTAATGACATCCCTAAATACTGGATTTAATCCTTTTCAGCACTGAATAGCATACAGACATTAATTTACAAAGTAACTTTTTAAATACAAATATTTGGGGAATCTAAATGCTAATAGTCCTGCATAGGTAACATGAGTCCCTCTCTTCTTGCATACACAAAAAAGCAGTAAGAGTACCTAAAAATCAGATGACCAGATCTGATTATTTTCTTTTACTGAAGCACGTCAGGAAAGCCTAACTTAGACAACTTGCAAGTAATAATTGGAAAGCATATGAGCATTATTCCTTTGTTTTGTGATGCTAAAATTATGCAAATGCTGTAGTTGTTCTCCAGGTTTCAAAGGAGTTTAGCAGAAGACTGAAATTAAACCACGTGACAATAAAAGTGCCCATTGTTGTTTCACTGCCTGCAGAGTTCCTTTTTGTCACTTCAAGCATCTGGCTTTCTTACATATTTTTTCAGTAGATTTGTTATTAACTTAAGTATTGCTGCTAAAGCTCAAAAGTTTTAGATGGGACCAAATAACTCAGCTTGAGCTCAGGTTACAGCTCTACTATAAAGGACAAAAACAAGTTGTGAGGCTGCTCCCTGACTGGTTCACCTCAAAAGAGCTCAGACTTTAATGGCAACAGATGTTCTATATCATGAAGGTTCCTGAAGCTTCACAACATAAATCCTGCCGACTCAAGTTCTTGTACACTATGCAACTAAAACTGAATTTAAAAGAAGGATCACCTTTAAAGAAAGTTATGCACTGCTTATACAATGTTGTATAATTTTCAGATTTAAACACTCCTCTGCTCCTGAAAGTGCAGGACAGATGCAAGCAATGAGAGGAAGAGCTCATGAAACAACTTTAACAAGAATTATGCTTAAGCTCTAAGAGACTTCAAAGCAATACAATAAAAACTAAACATGTCCAGAACAAGCAGGCCCAATCTAAAGCAGTAGACCGTGTGACTGTCTTAAATGATAAAGCCCTACTTTTCTCTTTAACCAAAGTTGCTGTTGATGGAGATTAGTCTAAGACATGGGCCTAGAATGACCTCACTAGACTTTTCATTTCACCCACTCGGGAAAAAGCAAAATAATTTGGTCTTGCCTGGAAGTGGAAGGGCAAATCTACAAGAAAGAAAAATAAGAACTACTACAGTATGCAGCACTGCGGATCAAAAGCATGTAATAAATTCCCAACCTATCATCATTCACGTAAATAAAGCTCATCTACAACACATTGCAGGTCTCAAGACAGCTCCATCCACAATGGTTTCCTCACATTTCCTTTTCTGCTTGTTGTTTACTTTTTCCTGTCTGGCTTCTAGGTAAGTTCCGGGAAAACAGATGAAAAGATGACTTCCAAGTGACAAGAATTTTGCAAGTAAGAAGAAAAATATTAGCACTAATAATTTTCATCCAGTAAGTAATAACTTGAATAAATCCTAAGCCTGTTTGCCAATATTAACAAACAGATGGCAAAACAAATCAATATAACAGTGTCAAAATTCCACAGAGGACAACAAAACTGTCAGACACCTGAAGTAAATAAGCTACTGAGAGCTTTACGTACATTACTGATGGGCACTATGAACTTTTTAAAAGAAACAAAAAACCCCAAGCTCCCAAATTTACTTCACGTACAAACAGGAATTTCAGTTCCACATATTAACTGGCATCCAAATGAATCTTTTGAAAATACTGCGAGGGCTCCCTCTTCTGACAATGCTTTGGACAAACTGTAAAACTGGTCAGCCTGTACATGTCAGAGTATGTTGTTTTGGAAAAAACTCCTGGCTCACATACATGATACTTATTTCCCATTAGTTAGGAAAGCTGAAAGTTTTAATCCTAAGAAAAATAAACTTAAGTCCAAGAAACTCATAATTATCCTTATTACAAGGACATTGATTTGAATCTTACAAGTAGGATTTAAAAATAATGCATATTTTGACTGTGTAATTTGGAAGGAAACTACTTAAATAGGAAACACAATGTAAGACTTACATGAAAGCATTTAATAGATTAATAGATAAGGTGAGCTGCGTCCAGAATCGGAAGATAAAGCAACAAATGGTACTTTATAAAATTTATAAAATATAGACCTATTGAAGCAGCGTCTGCATACAGTGGCCTTAAATGAATCACTAAAACAGACCCCATCAGATTTGTGGACCCTTCTAAATCAGACCACAGAGTTCTTGGTTAAGAATGTATTGGAATTCAATAGTGCCCAAGAATATAGATAGATATTTGAGGATCATAGACTCTGTTTTAATCTTTTTCTTTCAATATATGTTTGTGACTCACTCTCCCTCTGTTGAGCTGCTGCCCCTCCCTTTGGGCTCATTACTGAAGCCAGCTTTCCTTTCAACCAACCCTCTCAACTTCTGCTGAGCAAACATCACCTGAAACAGTTCCCCTGCTCCCTCAAAACCCTAAGATAAACAATAAAATACACAAGCCAATGGTAAGCCCTTAATCATTAACTCCCAAACAAAGTCATTTCAAAAGCTACACTTCCCTATAGCTAGTATATAATAACTTTTATTATATTAGGATCTCAACTTCTGAGGATCTCAATTTTTCACTCAATAGCTGCTCACTTAAGCAGACTACAAACAGTCTGTGAAAGCAGATGTCTTGTAATTTACAGAACCTGAAGAGTTCACACATCCCTTAATAACAGAAAAGATTTAAATATCTCTCTGCAAGATGTATTCCCTCTGCATGTTCTGTTCATTATCCAATATAGTCAACAAACTAAGCCAGGGTAAGATTTTCCTCCTGTTGTCTACATGGAGCCACTGTCTTATAGTGCTTCAATGTTCCTTATTTAATATACCGCTGCACACTCCTCACCGTGGTCTAAAAATCCATGTTTTGAAACAGCTCTCCTCTCTTCATCTGGGAACCTCACAAGTAAATCATTATTCCCAGGTGACAGAAATTGCCTTTTCACCCTCAGTGAAAGATTGATGCCCGATACATAGTTTATTTCCCTATTGTTCCTCTCTTCTCTGGAGACAGCTGATATTACTTACTCTCCCTGGCTGATGATCTCTGAATCTAATCATCCACAGTTTCCAAACTCCCAGATGCACGATATGAACACGTCAAGGCAAGTTCAGTTGTGTCTGTAGCAATACGATGCAAATCTGGTACATTTCCGAGTCAGATTTCTAAATAAATAGATTGCCTGGACTTTAAAACATTCTAATAGTTTAAATACGTGCTCTTTAGTAACACAAGATTGAACCCTTGAACAGGCCAAGTTAATTTCGGTTAGTACAAGAGTCAAGAGGAGCAAAGAAGCCAAATGTCCATAGCCTCTACCATCCAGCCATGACAGCCAGAAAAAACAGAGACCCCACAGATGAGAGAAGGAACCACTAGATTGGCAAGATGGGCAAACACAGTAGCTCTCATGGCAGGCAAATATGATACCACCGGCATTTTTATAGGTCCTTTCTGTCAGTAATAACAACACTGTGTTGCATGGAAACCAAAACTCATCCCTATACGCAACGGAAACAGGCAATAGAAAGAACAGTTCCTCTGATCACATGAATTAAGCAGACATCTATTTTAAACATACATAACTAACAAAATTAACTTCAAATCAAATTTAGTTTCCACTGAACCTTAATACAGCCTAGCAAGCCCCTCCCAAAACACGAAGCACACATGTTTTTAAACCACTTCTGAGTTAGTGGAAGAAAAATACAACAATTTCTATTTCATCTCTAATCTCCCACACTGCTTTAATTAGCATAGTTTCTGAACGTCAGTCAGGATGTACATTAACAATAGTCCAACTTGCATTTGCCATCTGCTATATATTTTTCTTTTCCATTGTCTTCCAGGAAGGCAACATGAAGTCATAAAATCACCCCAATCTTTCAAAGGCTCTACTGTTTAAATTCATCATCTCAGCATATAGCAAAATTTTACTGCTAGACCAGCAAAGCAGTCTATACAAACACCACTGTAATATAACATTAAAGTTGTTTAAAAACGGAAAAAAAGAGTAACACTTTTTAAAAACAGAAACCATTACACTGGAAATATTAATACAATTTATTAATAAATCTGGTTACCATAAAACAGAGCAAAGGCATTTCTCACCTTATCTTCAGTAACCTTAGTTGTTACTGAGGCACCCAAATTGCCTGTTCAAGATTTAAAATGAATCCAGTTTATAAAGTATAATTATCATTTCAACTGAAGTTACCAGCCAAGTAACTGTCCACATAGATAATGACTGCAAAACCTTTACTCTTGAAAAGGGAAATAAAGCCAAAAGCATTGAGACTTATAGACAAAGTAGTCACTTACATTTTACTTCTCTCCCTATCTTAAATCAACTTGGTTTACCTTCTCACAGAAGTCGGTAAGAGCAGTGAAGTCCCATTTCTTGCAATAGGCAACGTTGTATCTCAATATAGCCTCCTAGTGAAAGAGCACAACAAAACAAAGCTTAGGGATACTTATTAACAGAAGAAAAAGGATGTCATGAAATTTCCTTTTTGAAGGAACATTACCATCTAGTGGCTAAAACCTGTAACAGAGCCTACCAAAAATCCATAACACTGTATTAATATGGTGCAACTCCCTGATACTGAATCCTGTATTTTAGGTTTAGCATTGAATAAGCTTTAGTCTACAGGTCTTTCCTCCTAGCACAAAACAAGATAAGGCATGCTGAATCTGCCTACAACTTACAACACAAACATTCCACACCCCATTCTTGCTGTCTTTAAAAATAACAAAAAGTGTCCCTCAGCAGTATAGCAGAAGTTTACCAGTTTACGAACTTAAAGAATCAGAACCACAACAAAATTAAATAGGTCCTTTACAACAACAATCACCTTTAAAAAATTCTCAATAAAAAATACCAAATAAAATAGTATTAACCACGAAAGTCTTATTAGTTGCCAGGGAAGCACTATTTAATCATTTGAAGTTTTTCTGTAGGTTTTGCATCTTCCCCCTTCCCTGCTTTTCAGGTATAACCTAAATTACATTATTCTTCACAAAAAACGTAATAGCAATTCTAAGCTGCTCCAAATCACAACTCAAACGCCAATGAGAACTACAAGAGTTATCAACAGAACATTAGTCTCCAAAACATACAGATTTTTGTCAGCAGTTTGAATTGTTGTCATTTTAGTGGGGTATACTGGTGTGAACAGTTACTGTTTCAAACGTTTTCACCTGTGCATTGCACTACCGTCTGGTTAGAGAAAAAGCCTACACACTACATTTACCACAAACTAGATACCACTGGACAAACACAGTTCTGTGTAGACTTATAAAAGACAATTCATGTTAATAATACCTAATAAATTCAGTGGTAACACTTAAGACTCATTAATTAAGACCCTTAATTCATTAGGGAATCCCTTGATGAGCATAGATTTTTTTAAAACTTATTTTTATAAGTGATTAAACAACTAGGACTGAGCCAGAATCACCAACAGTACACAGAGAGCCTGAATGTATTTATATGTATATAGACTTGATTTCAAATTGACAAGCTTACCTTCAAATCATGCGAGCAAGTAAATTTGTTAAGTAATGCAGTTTGGATTAGTTCCCATCGACTTCCAGCACTTCTATCTCCATTCTTTAAAACAAAAGCCCAAAACAAAGTCAGATCAAGTTATTCAAAACAGAAAGACATATTTACTAATAATTGTCTTCCTTGCCACTTTTTTTTTTTCAACAGCTTGCTTTATTTGTGAAGTTCTTTTAAAATAAATCACGTTTTGAGTAACTGTTCAGTACTTCTGCAACTCCTAGTCCACTGCATTTTACTTCCTTAAGAGTTCCTTTTTAACTGAAGCATTCACAAAATTCATAAAGAGCTCTTTTCCACGTATGCAGTACTCTTCCTCATGCCATCTTAAGAAGGAAAGATAATGTTCAGTACATTCCTTGTGAAGGAAGTGAATTTTGCAGACAAAACATGACCACAGTTTACAAAATCTGCAACTCAAAAATATAAACTGAACAAACTTTGTAAAAACATAATATTAAGAACAATAAGGGCACAGATTATAAAAGCATATTGCTGTGGCTGACTCTTGCACCAACCCAAATTTAAGACATCCATGGTACTTTCCCTCAACAGAAAGTCTCATTGCAAGCTATGACATTTCTTATAGGACTACCACAAGGGCAGAGACAACTCATCTTGCTCAACTGGCAACAAAGATCTTATGAACACTTTACCCCTGAAACATCAATGAAATTCATTGTGTATTGTATCTGTAAAACTGATAAATTAAAAGACAGAGAGTACTTCCTAGAGGCTATAAAAATTCTCCGTTCCAGATTCAAGTATCAATAACCATTATACAGTCTTCACTACAGTGCATACTTGCTTATTTTATTCACCACAGTCTAAAATATTTCAGTGGATATGTTTAAGCAAGTCTTGAGCAGTGACAAGAAATACGAGATCAACAAACCACGCAGGGCCAACTCTAATCTCTTCGCCAGTGTTTTAGCGGAACAGCAGACAGATACACCTCAAGCTATCAGCAGTACCTGACAGAATATTATAATCAGAATGTGGTTACAAATTCATTCACATCTACTGGCATCCCAAATTAAGTATATAAATATACAACTTATATGGAGTATAAGCTTATACTTCATATAAGTACAGAAATATATATACCATTAAATCAATGGCTAGGTAAAACAATTAGTAGGAAAACAAAACAAAACAAAATTCTGCTCTGCCTGAAGCATCACAACCCAGAATCCACCTTTTCAGACCAGGTATGTTCATCTATTTGATTTTCCAATTCCATACACACCATTTGCTAACTGAACAAATGCAGTAAACTGAACACTCATCTATATGTAAACAAACTTATTTGATCATGCAACAGTAAATACTTTATCTTACCTCATCCTCTACAGGGTATAAGTTTTGTTCTGAGCAGGGCATTTTAACATGTTTGTTGTCCCACAAATCTTTGTAGTGAGTTGGAAAAGGTTTAGGCACCTCTCCTTCCCTCAGGAGATCTACCTGCAACACAGAAGGGGGTAAAAAGCTCAGACTCTACTTTCAAGTTTTTAAATGGAAGAAAGAAAAAGTAAGCAAAAACACAGTTGAAAAAAACTCTCATCTACAGCCACCCTTTTTGGAAAGGGGAAAGCTACAAACCAACAGTTATTCAGTTAGAATAAAATCCACCTGTTACTCTGTTACTCTTATGTCATACTTGGTGAAAAGACCACCACCTTATTATTTGAACTCTTGAAACACACTGAAATAAGGGTAATACACACAATTACTTTATGTCCAATTATCAGCTAAATACATCTTCATTTATTAATTTAAGTATCTACATAGTTTCATTCAAATATTTTGAAAATGTGGTTTCAAATCTAACCATAGTCATGTGCAGAAATAACATTTTTTAATCTAACACTGAAGAGGATGAGAAATTATTATAGATATAGCAATATTTCAAGTTTACTACACAGAATATGAGAAACGTAACCACAAATAACGTGATGTTCTTAAAGACTTAATTTGCTGTACAGCCTTCTGGCAGCACTGATTCTCTCAGAACTTGCATTTAAACTTAATGTACTTCACTTTTGTTTGTGATTTATCCATGACCCTACAGGTTTGTGGTCATAGGTTTTACTTCAACAATAATTTGACTGCATACTACTCCAAAGGATTAAAGGCAAATATAACAGATCTGATTTAAAATGCTGGGTTAAAATTGCTAGAAACTCCTCTTTATTCTTTGTTTTTTTCATATCTTGAATATCTTGAGTCTTTTGTATATCTTGAACCCAAACCAGAATCATATTAAAATGAAAATACAACATGAAAATGTTGAAGTACAAATTTTACTTGCAGACATATTTAAATTCCCACAGTTTACAACTTGGACAAGGAAGTACAAACACACCCCTATGCAAAAGAAAAATACTTGTCCCTAACAAACTACAGGCAGCAAAACCATAATTACATTTCTTCTGGTTATTAATATCCTAGTTCTGTGCATCAGAAAAGTAAATTTTCAGGAAAATCAGTTGCCCCAGTCTGCTCACAAGGAACAGCAAAGAAAGATTTCCATAACCTGCTAATATTGTAAGACTAATATTTGGCATTCCATATTATTGAACAATTCAGTAAGAAATTTGATTTCAGGTAATATAGTGAATTATCATACTCTGACGGTTACTGTGTGATTGGCTGAGGGTCGCAGATGAGGAAGACGGGCCCCGCACATAGGCATTCTTCTCATCTCTTCAATTGGTGTCCCAAACCACTTCTTATTAGCTGGAAGAGGAGGTGGCATATATTTAGGAATCTTCCTTCCAGGCCTCTGGGGTTTGAATTCACATTTTTCTTTTCTGCTGTTAAAATAAAATACATTGCAACATTTTATTTCCACTGAAAAACATGACAGGCAAATACACAAACTTCCACTCTAGGGTTATGTTTATAACAGAGTCAGTTTCTTTGCTAGCCTTTGCTCTGACCCCAAGCCAAAGCTTTATCTGGGGACCCCCCCAAACAATCTCCTCCTCCCCAACACACACAAGTACGTGATGTCTACCAAAACATCTATACAGGCTTACAAAAACCTTCACAGAACTGCAATACATTAGCAAGGCAGGGTTCTCCTCTGCAGAGTCATGCTCTTTCCCAACAGGATCTGTTTATCCCAGGACAGGATACAGACTCCTTGGTCTGCATTTGTCAGGGTACCCTCTACAGCCCCTTCTCAACTGTTAGAAAGCAAACACATGTGCATGCACAGATGCACATATTCCTCCTTCAAACTAAAAAAAACCAAAAACATCACCCCAAACACAAACTTCTTAACCACCCTTTCTCACTAGGGTTGTATTTTTCATGCCAGCTATACAATACTTGCAACGGAAGTAGAAATTTAAAAGCAATCCAAAAAACACTTGCGAAATTCAAATATATGCATGAGCAGATGAACTAATCCTCTTTAACAACCAAAGGTGCTTCCATGGATCTGAGATGTTTTGGGGAAGAAAAACCCCAACCTGCTGTATGTTTGATGTAACACACCAGATATTTCTCACACAAGAGAAAGTTCTCAGAGTAGAATGCAAAACAAGTTCAAAGCCTAGACTTTGAGGTACTGTTTAGACCTCTAAAATCTCCTTAGCAAACTTACTCCACCCTTGGATAAAGTTGTCCAACCTGTTCACTGTGTCTATGCATATGCCAGTATCTTCAGGCGCAGACAATGCCTCCAACCTGGCTGATCGCACGCAAACGGCGTACGCACATCAGCGTGCCACTGGGTACAGGCCTCCTGTGCTCATCTAAGAGCCAAAGGATAACTCCAACATAGCATTACTGAGGACTGAAACGCGTTTGATACACTATTGCTTTTTTCTCCGCAAGTTAAGATCTGAGCCACTCTATTATCTGCTGTAGACTTGGTCTAACAAAAACCACGAGGAAAGCTTTAAGATTTTCTAATTGCCCTCTTAAGCACCATAGGCAGTACCACTATTGTGCCCGGCACTGAAGTTTATAACCTTCACATCATCTTGTTTAGGCCCCAAAAAGAAAAGGGGAAAAAAAAATCTCTCTACAGCCTCATACTCTACCTCACTAACTATTCTGTAAAGCACTGCTAGGATTCCCATCTATCCACACAGCAAAAAACTTATGCACAAGTTTCCCTTCTCATGCATGGATTTAGTGTAACACACGATGCTCTAGCACCGACAAATGCAAGCCTCAACTTCTGCTGCTTTGCTACAACAGCGGTTTGTTTAAATTACTGAAAAAGAGTACACCCTAAACCCATCATTTGAAACTTTACGACCCCCTTTTCCACACTTTCTTTAGCAAATTCTTCATCACCCATTTTTCCTAAGAACTACCTTTTTTTGTTTTCCAAATTCACTCTCAGCTTACTAATCTCTTAAGATTTCTCAAATGCAAGCTCCTGCTGATAGCTAGCCACCCTCCATCATCCTCTTCATTTCCTTGAAAGGTATGGTTTCTGCTGCTCCTCACATCCAGGAAGGACCTCCCAGTAAAGATGTGCAAAACTACTTTCTTGTCCTACTTTAAGGAATTGAGACTACCGAGATAATTGCTTATTACACCAACACACACAGTCCTCTTGTTTCTGCTTACTACTTTGCTGTTTATTCACTTTCTCAGCTCCTACTGAAATCGAAGCTCTTCAGAGCAGAGATTACCCTTTTGTCCTTACACAACACCTAGCATGTGGAGTCCTGGGTCAATCAGGACTTCTATTTCCATTGCTGTAGTGTGTAATCATCAGTCCTTCTCTCTCTCAAACTATGAGTAAAGTAAAAAAAAACCCTGAAAACCACTGACACACATCTCTCCAACTGCTTTCAAAAGTGAAATTTTTCATGTCTGTTTCAATCAAAGCATCAGTACCACTGACGCTTCAACAAAATAGATTCAGTACTTTTGACAGATGAAACTAAAAGAACCAAGGAAACAGAAGTTTCCTCGAGTATTCCGAATTAAATAATGAATGCTAGAGCTATACTCCATAAAGCAGTCCTGTACCACCATTCATTTTCAAGCATTAAAAATCCCATGGTCTTAGGAAATCAACTTCCTACAGTGTCTTTAATTCCCAATTTTAACAGATCTCCAATGATTTAAAAAACCTGCACTGGACAAACATACCCTTTAAAATAAACCCACAAGTAGTCTCATTAAAAATAAGTTACTTCAAGCTTACAGCAAAGTTGTCTTTGTGTCTTAATATACATTTTGCAAAACTCTATACAATCCAGCCTCCAAAGTGCTATCGCCAAAAAGGAAATTTTTGAGTGTGAAAAAACAGATGAAGAGGTAGATAGAACACTACCTTTTCTCCTCAACTTTAGGTATCCTCATGAAGTGAGAGGTGATTTTGGAGTCTCTCTTCACAACCTGCTTTGCACCTTTGCATTCTGATGAAGGAGCAGGAAAGATCCCAGGTGACTTTGTATGCAGACTGTCCTCTTTAACAGAATTATCTATTTCCTCAAAGCTTTCACCGCCCTTGGTAGAAAAACGTGACTTTCTTGACTCCAGTTCAGCATCCCCATATTGAATTCTAAAAGATTTGTTTATGGATTTAGACATATTAATCTCCTCTCGCTCATCAAGAAAAGGACTCGTTTCTTCATCAGCCTCTGACCCATGACAGCTATTTTTAGAATTATCTACATCCATCGGTGACTCCGGTTCACTTTCTTTCTCAAAAGCAGGCGAATCCCCTGAACTACTCTGACATTTGCTCCGTTTCCCAGGACCTCCATGATCAGATATACAAGCATCACAACCAGCATCTGAAAGAGGACTTTCTGGAACTATATCCCCTTCTTCTTGTTGACCCATTAAACAGACAGAATTGCAACTCTTTAGCTTCTGTGAATTGCATGAAGCCACTTGTCCATCTGTCTCACTGTCTTTTGAAGAAAGTTTTGTATTTCCCATTTTCAAAGACCGGTCTGATGATAATTTCCTCTGAGTCCAATTGTCACTGCTTTCTTCACAGCCTCTCTGAGCCTGCTTGCCTGTTTTGTGCATCTGATCAATGTTGGCGTTTTTAAAGAGGTCTCCAGACTGCATCCCCTTCACAGGCTCTGTGTCTAAGACTGGATCTTTGTCCTCAGCCTCCCAGTTATACATGCTGCCTGTTTGAGGCAAATTTGCATGCTTTGCACCAACTTCCACAGATACTTTTGAGTAATTTTGCTGACAAATATTCTCCAGCTTTTTCACATCATGTTCGCAAAAGTTCTCTTTTTTAATGGAAGTCATCTTGGGATTTGCTTCGGTATTGTTATTAATTTTGCTGTGTAAGCTGTGGAAGAGAAGTAAGGGAATTTAATGTCTTACCTCCAAATGAAATTTCTGTACACAGATTTTTTAAACATACAATAAAAACTACAAAATTCTACCCATTATACTGTGTAAGCGAGTGCTACCAGGATCAACAAGTTTTACTGCACCGGGGAATATAGCTCAGCAACAACCTATTTCCATTTAAAGGCTCCAAAGGATGATGAATCATTTACTTCCCTTAGAAATCTATTCCAGTGATTCATTATCCTTATTTTCAAATCTAAACCGTATTAAGCTATTATTTAGTTATCTTCTCCAGGTGAAAAAAGTTAGAAGTCATGATAAAGTCCTTGTTAACTTTCATTTTAATCGGTTAAATACAGTGAGCAAGGAAATAAATGGTTTTATAGTCATTCCCTCAGAGCTACAAATTCATCTTTCAGAAGAGCAGGACACAGTAGTCCACAGTCTCAAAAACATCCTATTACTTCCTTATTTTCAAAAGCATCTCATGAGTCCTCAAAAAAAAAAAATCACAATACAAAGGCATAAAATATATTTAGAAGTGATAAGAAAATTAAGACACATTAAATAATTTATTATTTTTTAAGAGAAAAATAACCTAGTTTGTCCTGTGCTGTCTTACACAAGAATAGAAAGAAATGTGTCCTAACAGTTACATAGGGAAATGAAGCGAGTTTTGTATGAGTAGATGAAACTTTTCAAGACGGACAGTCATTCCACACTTGTATAGTAATTTTTGTGTCAGTGTATTGATAAAGAAAAATATTTAGACATCATATGAATATTAAAAAACCTGACTAGTCATGGTGAATATACCACTCTGAACAACACCTTCTCCTGAATATATTGTTACAACATTTTATATAACCAATGTGAACTAAGCATACTAAACTCTATACGTCTGGTTATTGCCCAGTTTCCCATCTATACCAAATAGAAAAATATGCAATTATCACACAACCCTAAATTCAGCAACTGAACATCTCAATAGATTCCTGAAGGCATTAATTCTCTCCATGAACGATAACGGATCCTCTTTAAAAGAGCATTCTGAATAAAGAAATAGCATTCACACCTCTATCACTACAGAACAAAAAGAAAAAAAAAATAAAGGGGCTTGGAGCAAGAGATGATAGCTTGGAACTTCAGCCCTAGGAAGATTATTTAAAAAATAAAAGTATTTTAGAGGGGTTTACATTATGATAACTTAACCCCTCATCTATGCATTTGTTCCTGCATTGAAAATTTTGATGAACAAAAATGAAAGTTACTGCTACTATCTCAATAAATCTTTAAAGGTATTGACAACATCTGTTGTCAACTTAAGATGAGAAATCAAATCTAACACACAGCGTTCAAATTCAAATAAATTAAAATTGTGATGTTAACTGCAACAGAAAGGAACATGAAGTGTTTACACGACTAATCTGCTGCTTTAAACTGAGCAGGCTGTAACCTGTCAGCAGGGCTGAAGGAGGGCATATAAAAGCCATACTCTAAAGGGAATCTTAAAAAAAAATTATATATATATTCATTCCCTCCTTAAGCATCCTCTTAACATCTTTGCTTTACTGCAGTCTGTGAACCTCTAGTTGAGCCCTGTGTACTTCTGTATTAATCATTATCACAAGTTCACCTAGCTATTTTAGTACTGCTATGGATTTCAATTTCTATTTATTAACAAACATAAATGAAAAATAAACCAGCATATTTACAATTGCAATTCTAGAAAAATAATATCTGATATTCCTCTGCACCAGATATATAAACTCTTAGGAGTTTAATTTTAATGCTGCCTTGCACACATCGCTCCTGACAGACTACACTAGCAGAAAATATCAAACTTTACCTGGTATCATTCGGCAGCAAAACTTTCACATCTTTCAGAAAATAACCTGAATGTACATTTGAGCACCTGTAAATTCTGGTCCAAATTAAATCAAGTTGCACATGCTTATACTACAATCACAGCCCAATGAGATGAGTCAAAACAGACTTTTGTCTGTAAATTAACAACAGAACTGCAAGTTGAATGCAGGACCATAAGACAAAATCTGTAACTGTTATTGCTCTACAGCGAACTCGATCTAGTGGCTGGTTGCCACTGGAAGCAGCAGTCCCACTTTGCCTTCTCTTGCTGCAGGTTCCCAGCTTTTTCTTTGCAGAAGCAGGAGTAGATACTCACCTAAACAGCAAGGTGCTTCAGGAAGCTGTCAGCAAAGAAGTTTGGTTTTGCGGGGGTTAGAGGGGAGGGTGGAGAACTAGTTAGCTTTTTGTAGTGAAAGTCTGCCAGTTAGTTATACTCAAGAGGATGTGCCAAGGTAAGGAAAGCAGGAGAAACGGGGTTGCCTTTTTTTCAGTAGCTAGCCGTACTGGCAACCTGCACTTTGAGTTCCCCACAGGCCCACGCAAAGACCACAACTTTTGATATGTATGCTGTACATTTTACCTTTTAGACTCAGTTGTCTTGGGTCCTTTATTCTCCAACCAAGTGGTAATTGTCCGTTGTTTACAAACTGAAAAACCACAGTTGACTACATTATTACATGAAACATGATAAAACTGCAACATGATTCCATATGAATAAGAACTTGTACTGGATGAAGACAAAAACCTCAATTAAATCCTCATTATCATTTCTACTATAGGGGGCATCCAAACACTAACACTATTAAAACTACACGTGATGCAATATTTAACTTGTATCAGTCAGCAGCTGTAGCTTCTGTAATAATCTTCATAAATGCCAGGTTTGGTATGTGGTGGTTTGGGTTTTTTTCATTCAACTTTTTTTTTTAATATGGTTAAAAACATACAGTGAATCTCTAGATTTAAAAAACAAACCAACCAACCAACACACCCACCCTTGAACTTTGCAGCTCTCATTATCACCTTTAATCACCACCACAGTGAGCCCTGAAAGACTTCTGCTGAATTTTGGAACGAAGAGGCAATATGACATAGCTTAAAACAAACAAACACACACTTAACAAACACACATCTTAGAATACTCAGCTGAGAACCTTATTTGTATGAAGCACACTGTGAAGCATGAGGCTTATAAAGATTGTATACGCTGGTGACAAGTGCTGAGAAAAGGACTTTTTCTTTTCCCCTCCATCCATAAACAATTTGTAAAGTCTATCAATGCTTACTTCTCTAAACAGCAACAAAATGTGAAGGACAATTTTTTTCAGATTTGCTACCACCAACACAGCTCCAGTCAGTGTGATCAGTCTTATCTCTGTGATGTTGCAGTTCAGACAACCTTTCAATAGAACAGCAGCGCATGAACTAATTATGTCGAGACTTGCAGGGGTAATAGGGAGAAAAAACCTCAAAGCAGTTATTTCACAACGGGAAAGTAATCTTCATTAATATAGTAGGGTTTTTTTAGTTTTGGTTTGTTGTTGCTATGTAAAGGTAATTCTGAAAATTTGGCAACTAGCTTCAGTTCCCTTTCTTTCTATTTGCCAAGAGAAGTTACCTACCTGCCGCTGCTGACCGTGCAAGGTTTTTACTCACTGCTTTCAACGAGGTAAGTAAAATTTTTAGTTCCCCTATTGCAACAGTAGTTTTGCAGAACTTAAAAACCAGTACAGCAGATCTGGCTATTCTGATTAATAGTCACTATGGAAAGACTCAGCATTTTACTGCAAAGGGACATTGTGTAACTTGTAGCATAGGTAGCTTAGGCCATAGGTAACTTAAGAGACATTGTTTCATAAACGCCTTCCCTAACATTGGGAGGCCTTGAACACTTTTCCACAGCTGATTATCAAATATCCTCAACGAAAGTACAGAATTTCTAGAATTAAAAAGCAATCTCTAGAAAATGTTTACATCATTTTAACTTCTTCTGAAACAGCACAAACAACAGTGCAAAATTGCCACCATGTGACTAGGTCACCAGGGAGTAACACCACGCTGTTTGCAGATTACAGGCACAAGGATACCTGTGCCATACTCAGTCATTCAATTTTTCAACAAACGCTCAGCTTCACCCCACTCAGACAAAAAAACCAGCTTAATAGATTTTATGAACTCAAATATTTTTGTTTCTAAAGAGTTACTAAAACTGAAGTCTATTAGTCATTCTGTTTACCAAATTTCACCTTCTTATATTTGAAGTGTTAACACAAATTGCCTACAGGAAAGGGGAAAGAAGCAGCCAGAAAAAAAATAATCTAGAAGGGACATGTTAAAACATGGGACAAATAAACCTCTTCAAAGGCAGCTGACTACCTCTTGAGGCATAAAGTTGCACTGAGAAAGGAATACTTGTTCATTAGCATAATAAACTGAAATGATAGCAGCAGGACAGAATGAAGTGGCTTTGGTCTGAACTTTAACATCTGACTAGCCACTTAAGCCCTATAACCAACCTTACACACATCATTTTTTCTGTAATACTACTACTATCTCCTTTTGCTACAGATAAGGTGGCAAAAACATAAGAGGCAACAGAAAGACAACGTATGCTTATGTTCAGTGTAAACAATAAAACCAGATTTTGGTGTAATTTTTTTAAAGTGGTCTCTAAATTTCTATTCAAGATTCCCCAAATCATTCCCAAAAAACCAAACCATCCCTCAAAATCCACCACTGAGGAAAACAACTGAATTTTTAGAAGATTCTTATTTATCACTCTGTAGGAGTGCATACATGTAACTTCAAATTATTATCTACTCAAAGTTGCCTCTTAGTTACTGGTTACTGAGGTTTAGCTAACGAACCGAAGACCATAGCAAATCTGTTTGGCTTTTTTTCCCTTCCCTGCATTCCTTTCTATTCCTGAAATAGGTACGTTATTGTGCATTAAAATTTTATTTTGACCGCGTTAGCTTCAAATAAAAATAACTTAAGGAAGCCACGTGGGAACTTTTTCTACACGGCTTTGTTACACAGCAGGAGAGCCCCTCAGGGCCAGCAGCACTCCAGGCCTGCGGCCACTTGCCCATGTGGGTTCCTGTCATTACCCTTAGCCCTCCCCGCCGTGACAGCCTGGCACAACACCCCGCTGAACGGCGTTTCTCTTGCAGCAAGTGTTTGTCCTCTCGTAGACCAAACTCGCTACCTTTAGCAGCTCACACCTCACTTGGATGGCTGCACTGTTACTGCAAGTTTATAAAGAATCCGGCACAAAGCCAGGATAACGATCCTGTACTCAAAGCCGTCTCCAAAGGGCAGCAACGCGCACTGCCCCACGCCACCAGGCTCGGGCACACGGGACACGCCGGCCCCGGGAAGCTAAGCTAAAGACGATTCAAGCCCGGCACTGAAGGCCAGCTCCGGAGCGGCTACGTGCACCGGCACAAGCGGCCTCTCGCCATTTAACGCTGCCCTCCCTTCAGCGTAGCACGCAAACAGCAGCACAGCAGGGACGCAGTAAGCAGCAGAGAGGGACACCGCAAC